GAATGATATCTCACTCTCCTGAGGATAACACAGAGAGATAAAGAAAGGATGTTGTTTGAACGCCAGCAAACATACACTGCAATGCTTTGTTGTACAATGATTCCCGAGTTCGTGTTACTGGCCTGGAGTGGTAAAGTGTCCTACCATGAAGGACGCAATAAGGCTGCCCTCCCCAGAAACCTTTTGCAAAGGCTTTGGGAGTACATCCAGGAGAGCCGCGAATGCCAGGGCAAAGTAATCCTTTCACATGCTTGCTTTCAAACCATGTATAGTATTTTAAAAGGTACACTCACCGGAGGTCCCTTCTCCGCCTCCCGGGTCCAGGAGGCAGCCTTGGGTGGGTTCGGGGGGTACGGCTCCAGGTCCCAGGGTGAGAAACAGTTCCTGGCTGTCGGGAAAACCGGTTTCTCCGCTTGCTTGCTGTGAGCTATCTACAACCTCATCATCATCATCTTCTTCGTCCCCAAAACCTGCTTCCGTGTTGCCTCCATCTCTGTTGAAGGAGTCAAACAACACGGCTGGGGTAGTGGTGGCTGAACCCCCTAAAATGGCATGCAGAAGCGGCATCATCATAGAAGCGGCATGTTTGGGGCTCTGACCCGGAGCGGCCATTCGCCTCTCTGGTTTTCTGGTAGGCTTGCCTCAGCTCCTTAAGTTTCACATAGCACTGGTTTGGGTCCCTGTTATGGCCTCTGTCCTTCATGCCCTGGGAGATTTTGACAAAGGTTTTGGCATTTCGAAAACTGGAACGGAGTTCTGATAGCACGGATTCCTCTCCCCATTGAGCGATCAGATCCCGTACCTCCCGTTCAGTCCATGCTGGAGCTCTTTTGTGATTCTGGTACTCCATCATGGTCAGCTCTGCTGATGAGTTCTGCATGGTCACCTGCAGCTTGCCATGCTGGCCAAACAGGAAATGAGTTTCAAAAGTTCACAGTTCTTTTCCTGTCTACCTGGCCAGTGCATCTGAGTTGAGAGTGCTGTCCAGAGCGGTCACAATGGAGCACTCTGGGATAGCTCCCGGAGGCCAATACCGTCGAATTGTGTCCACAGTACCCCAAATTCGACCTGGCAAGGCTGATTTAAGCGCTAATCCACTTGTCAGGGGTGGAGTAAGGAAATCGATTTTAAGAGCCCTTTAAGTCGAAATAAAGGGCTTCATTGTGTGGACGGGTGCAGGTTTACATCGATTTAACGCTGCTAAATTCGACCTAAAGTCCTAGTGTCAACCAGGGCTGAGGAAGATTGTAGTGACCTTAGGAATGAAGGCTGGTTAGTTCACAGAACTATCATTTGTGATATACATGTAATTGAGATGTCACTGAAAGCATGCTAAGCTCTGAAATCCCCCTGGACAGAGAGGTGGCAAGTAGGCAAAATACTTTCAGTGAAAAGAGGAAGAGATCTACCAAATGTGAAGCTGAAAGGTAGTTTTATTAGGATTTGTAACTGACAGATCAAGATCATGACAGGAATCTGCATATTGCCAGAAGACTGATAAGAGTTAAGAGCTAAGATGAAAGTGAGGATCATCATCATAAGGGACCTGTTGTCTGCAAATGATGCAGCCCTTGTGGCTCACAGTGTTGTTGCTCTACAACATCTTATTACCAAGTACTTTGATTTGTGCAAAATCTTTGGGCTAGCAATAAGCTTGAAGAAGACTGTTATCATGCAGCAAGGCTCTTCAGAACCAGATCCAACTTAGATGGCATTCATCTGGATGTTGCTGACCAATTTGGCTACCTTGGCTCTACTGTTACCAGGAATGTAAATCTTGATGCTGAGCTCACTAGAAGAATTGGCAAAGCAGCCAGGAACTTTGTTTTTTTGCAAGACAGAGCCATGAACAACAACAAATTGTTAATTAAAGTGAAAATGCATATTTATGAGACATGTGTTTTATCCACTCTTCTATTTTGCTCAGAAACATGGACGACTTACGTCAAATGTACCAAAAGTGCTAAAGGAATTGGCGGATGTGATTGGAGAGCCATTGGCCATTATCTTTGAAAACTCATGGCAATCAGGGGAGGTCCCGGATGACTGGAAAAAGGCTAATGTAGTGCCAATCTTTAAAAAAGGGAAGGAGGAGGATCCTGGGAACTACAGGCCAGTCAGCCTCACCTCAGTTCCCGGAAAAATCATGGTGCATATCCTCAAGGAATCAGTTCTGAAGCACTTAGATGAGAGGAAAGTGATCAGGAACAGTCAGCATGGATTCACCAAGGGAAAGTCATGCCTGACTAATCTAATTGCCTTCTATGATGAGATAACTGGTTCTGTGGATGAAGGGAAAGCAGTGGACGTGTTATTCCTTGACTTTAGCAAAGCTTCTGACATGGTCTCCCACAGTATTCTTGTCAGCAAGTTAAAGAAGTATGGGCTGGATGAATGCACTATAAGGTGGGTAGAAAGTTGGCTAGATTGTCGGGCTCAACAGGTAGTGATCAATGGCTCCATGTCTAGTTGGCAGCCGGTATCGAGTGGAGTGCCCCAAGGGTCGGTCCTGGGGCCGGTTTTGTTCAATACCTTCATTAATGATCTGGAGGATGGTGTGGATTGCACCCTCAGCAAGTTTGTGGATGACACTAAACTGGGAAGAGTGGTAGATACGCTGGAGGGTAGGGATAGGATACAGAGGGACCTAGACAAATTGGAGGATTGGGCCAAAAGAAATCTGATGAGATTCAACAAGGACAAGTGCACTTAGGACGGAGAAACCAATGCACCGCTACAGACTAGGGATTGAATGGCTAGGCAGCAGTTCTGCAGAGAAGGACCTAGGGGTGACAGTGGACGAGAAGCTGGATATGAGTCAACAGTGTGCCCTTGTTGCCAAGAAGGCCAATGGCATTTTGGGGTGTATAAGTAGGGGCATTGTCAGTGGATCGAGGGACGTGATCATTCCCCTCTATTCGACATTGGTGAGGCCTCATCTGAAGTACTGTGTCCAGTTTTGGGCCCCACACTACAAGAAGGATGTGGAAAAACTGGAGAGAGTCCAGCGAAGGGCAACAAAAATGATTAGGGGCCTGGAACACATGACTTATGAGGAGAGGCTGAGGGAACTGGGATTGTTTAGTCTGCGGAAGAGAAGAATGAGGGGGGATTTGATAGCTGCTTTTAACTACCTGAAAGGTGGATCCAAAGAGGTTGGATCTAGACTATTCTCAGTGATAGCAGATGACAGGACAAGGAGTAATGGTCTCAAGTTGCAGTGGGGGAGATTTAGGGTGGATATTAGGAAAAACTTTTTCACTAGGAGGGTGGTGAAACACTGGAATGCGTTACCTAGGGAGGTGGTGGAATCCCCTTCCTTAGAAGTTTTTAAGGTCAGGCTTGACAAAACCCTGGCTGGGATGATTTAGTTGGGGATTGGTCCTGCTCTGGGCAGGGTGTTGGACTAGATGACCTCCAGAGGTCCCTTCCAACTCTGATATTCTATGATTCTATGAAAAGATTAAACAGCTTTCATATCAGATGCTTGCGTAAAATTCTTTGAATAAGATCGGAAGACAGGATGACAAATGTGGAAGTGTTAAATCGTGCTGGTTTGCCATTCATGGGAATGTTGGTTAGTAAGAAAATACTCAGGTGGCTTGGACATGTCAAGTGAATGCTGGATTACAGGATCCCAAAGAGTGTGCTGTACTCTGAAGCTCGTGAAGGATCTAGAAAGAGAGGCAGACTACTGCACAGATTTTGGGATGCTTGCAATGATGACTTAGTATCCTTTGGAATCTCTGTGGATGACTGAGAAAGGAGGGCAATATGCTGCTCTAGTTGGCAGAGTTAGCTTGTAGATGGAGGGACGCATTGCGAGGCGGACAGGATCGAGCTTTGTGATCACCAATGTCAGAGAAAGAAAGAATCTGCTGCTTGGATTCAGAGCATAGCTAGTGCGTGGTTGTGCCCTAGACCCTAGGATGGGTCCTGCTTTTGAGCAGGGGGTTGGACTAGATGACCTCCTGAGGTCCCTTCCAACCCTGATATTCTATGATTCTATACCTGTGGATGGGACTGTCATTTGCTCATCAGACTCAGCAGCCATCAAAGAACTCATCGGCGCATACACCATGCTCTGTAAAGAGTGACTGTACCATTAATTATTATTATGATAAGAGTGATGTTCCTCAGAAATCTGTTATGTGATAGTGATGAGAGAGACCTCATGGCTTCCTTACAGTGCAATATGCCTTTAGCTGTTGACTTGTCTTTCCAAGAAGTGTTGGCCTTTGGCCCCATAGTTAGGCCATCTTGTAAAAACACTAGAATGTCTTTAGTTGCAGCTGACTTTGCCTTGATGTGTGTCCCTTGTAACAGCAACATTGAAACTTCAAGTAGAACATAGACAGCATTTGTGAATTTCCTCCCCAATTTGCCAGGAGGATGTTTATCACCTTAGAAAGAGGGATTGCAAATTTTTCCTCTCAGCTTCCCAGATGACTGGTTAGCCAACACTAGATTTTGGTTCAGGATAGGTCCCTGTTGTACTACATTTTGTATGTGTGTTGAGATTTGAGACATTCCAGTGACATTTAAATCGGGTCTGGGAGCTAAGGCCTGAGAATTAATAAGATGATTTATAATCACTGTGGCCTTTTCCTTCACTATCTTCTTTACCATCTTTACACTTAGTGGCTGGGGGGGAGGGAGGAGGCATAAAGGAGGCCTTTTAGCCCTCTTCTGAGAACAAATTGCTATTTGGAGAATCTTAGATGCCATGGCTTCACATAAAAGCTACTGGAAGGAGCTGCCATCTAGCAGTTCTCAGAATAATTTTGGAGTAGTAGTCTGATAAGGCAGCACAGCTAAAGACCTTGTTTCACTCCAAAAGTATCATAAACTCTTGTGACTTTCTCCCAAATTGTTGCTCAGCCATTTTAAAGCAAACTTCCCCAAATCTGACCATTTACACTGGACAGTTAAGGGAGACAAATCACTGTTGTCTTATGAATTCCAAATCACTAAGTTGTCAATGATCTCTCCAAGGTTAATCTGTTTTCTAAATATTTTATTTCTTAAATACGAAAACGTACATTCATGGAACACTGAGATTGTAGATTTAAACACAACTCAAGAAATCTAAAGGTAAAGTTTTCACTGCAATATTGATTTGTCTACAGAGTATAGATTAAAACACTTGCAACAGCCTAACTAATAACAAAATACTAGATATTTGCAATAAGAATCTGAATGTTTCTTCTCCTGAGTTAGATGTAAAGATTTGCAACTTTAATGCTGTATTTTAAAGACTAAAATAAAATTGAATAGAAACAAAAATAATCAGTCTAGTTTCCTTGCCAAAGATGAACGAAATGTAAACAAACAAATGCTGAAAGACAGAGATTTAAAATTATTTCAATTACTTAACAGCTACAAATCTAACCATTTAAAAATAATTTTCAATATCCCCATGTCCCTTTTTATCAAGCTTCACGTAAGACTTTTAAAATTATTTGTCTATTCCCCAAACTGTTAAAACACCACAGGCACTGATCTCTTATTTATCAATGTAAAATGCATCAGTTGTATGGCTTGTAAACACGGTCAGTCAAGCTCTGTAGACTGATGCGATATGATGGACACAGTAACTGTGCTCTCTGTGTAATGAGAATATGGGTTTTGTCTCTCCATACTGATTATCTAGGAGGCCTTGTCCATTATCAGAACTCATTGTCTGACTCTGCATCCCAGCCACAGGATTCCAGCTGCTCATCTTGTGGGAACTCAACCTCAACATTGTAGGTGAAATCTGGGTCATCCTTCTTCTTCCTGTTCTTTTCAAACAGCTCATCCATGATACTCTTCCTTTTCGCCAGCTCCTTGTCATCCAGTTTGTTCAGGTCCTCCTCTGGGTCAATGGTCTCTTCCTGATGAATCTGCTCCAAGGTCTGGGCCAAACTCTGTCCCTGCAAGTGGCCTCTTAGCAAACTGTATAATTTCTGCAGCTGCCGCAGTGAGACCCCTTGTAGGTAAGCCTTGTGCCGAGGGTTATTCTTCAGCTGTTCTGCAGCCCTGCTGCAATCTGGAAAAAAAGTTCCCCCTCCCAAGAATTGTCCTCAAGCACACAATTCTTAAATAAATAAATAAATGATCTTTATCCAAAGATTCTCTGGGGTGAGGTGCTGCCCTAGGAGTCCCACTACTCATTTATAAACTAGACAGGTCAGGCTGGGAAGCTTCCTGGCTTGAGCTCCAAGCCTGGAGAACATTGGGTATTCCACTTCCAGAGAGTAGTCCTTCTACACAACCTCCCATACAGAGCTGGTGAGAAGAAACCTACCAGTCCCTGAAGAGGTGCCCAGCTGCCATCTCTCCCACTCCTACCCCATTGCTGTTTTGCGGAAGGAGGCTGTGGGATGCCAAAATTAAGAATACTGTACCTGAGAACTTGGAGAAGTTTCGGATAGGCATGATGCGCTGGCGTGCTCTATCCTTATTTTCATCTTCATAGATCAGGATAATGGATGGAGGCTGAAAACGAATGCCACACTTTTTTGCAACATAAGTCATCCCAGCTCATGCTACTGGCTGAACAAAATGAAACCTTACAGAGCTCTACTAGGTGTGTGCTTCAATGTTCACTGCAAAAGAAAAAGGAAAACATGAATGAAACTGATGCTGCTCTTTATTTTAAGGATGGTTTCTGATCAGGGTTATAGCAGTTCTGATTCAGAAAAGCACTTAACTCTCTGTATAAGTCTGAATATGTGCTTAAAGCCTTTGCTCAATCAGTGCCATGGGGGGTACAATGACACCCAACTGTTGATTTCCAGATTTGTCAACTCTACATCTGAGTCTGGGTTGTTTGGTTGATGTATACATGGCATAGTTTTTGTGTTCCAGGCTCGACGAGGGTACCCCATAACCAAATGGAGGCCCAAACATTTCTTTTTACTTAAAAAATGGAAAAAATCATACAACGCATCAGTGCATTAGAGATTTTTTCATAAACAATACTCCGCTGCAAATTACAGCCACTGATCTGGAAAAGCTCACAGTTATTTAACCATTAAAAAACCCTTTTTTCACCAATTTCTTGTTATTTATGACCGGTTGGATTAAAACCAGGGCACAAGGTTTGAATTAAGGGGAGGAGACAACTTGTCTGTGTAAGCAAAGTCTGAATAACATCTAGTGGTGAGATAAAGATAAAGACTTCAGAAGCTGATCTCGATTGCATGGATACACCCACCCTGCCTAGGTGCTCAGCATAATGGGATTGCTTGCCCATATGATCACTTGTGGCTGGATTCTCCAGTCTCCTTGTTATTGGGGCAGGAGTAATAAAGTGTTGTTTTCCTTGTTGTGTGAAACAAGGGCAGCAGAACTGTACCTGGCATACCCCAATGGAGGGGCTCACCCTCAACTGAATGGCACTCGCTAAGCAAGGGACATGGGTTCCAAAGCTCAATGAGTTGAGAGGGTGGTGTGGGTCCTGGACATCATTTGATCTTTCTGCTCTCCATGGTATAATAAAAGAGCTAATTTAGATTCAATTGAGAGTCTTGTTACACACTGCAGAGCTGAAATTGCTGATACCTGGGTCTAAGTATTAGACCTACTTTAGGACAATGTCTCTGAGGTCCTATTGTACTTATGCAAAGTGTGGGCCATTAATGGTGGTTTGGAATCTTAATGGCTCCTATTAACCAGGACAATTACCTGTAGATAGCTCTGTTTTACTTGTAAGTCTTCCTGTATACCTGTGGGCTGGCAAGTGGGTAATGAAGTCTTACAGACATGTGATCATGTCACCTGAACTGGAATCCATCTTTAACCTGGTGCTTTTCCATTGAGAAGGAGGGGTGGGACAAAGGATTCCCGCCGTATGCAAAAGATACATAAGTGGGTGGAACAGAACAAAGGGGGCGGCCACCATGAGATATCCCCTAGCTACCACCTGAGTTGAAACAAGGGCTGTACCAAGGGAAAGGATTGTGCCCAGACTAGGAAGGCGTCCAGTCTGTGAAAGAAACTTACTGAAACATCTGAGGGTGAGATTTTATCTGTATTCAGTTTTATCACTGTACTAGACTTAGACTTGCATGTTTTATTTTATTTTGCTTGGGAATTCACTTTGTTCTGTCTGTTGCTACTTGGAACCACTTAAATTCTGTATTTAATAAAATCACTTTTTACTTATTAACCCAGAGTATGTATTAATACCTGGGGGGGGGGGCAAACATCTGTGCATATCTCTCTATCAGTGTTATAGAGGGCGAACAATTTATGAGTATAAATATATAAAATATCTGAATAAAAAACAGATTTATTTGGGGTTTGGACCCCATTGGGAGTTGGGCATCTGAGTGTTAAAGACATGAACATTTCTTAAGCTGCTTTCAGTTAAGCCTGCAGCTTTGGGGCACGTGGTTCAGACCCTGAGTTTGTGTTGGAGCAGACTGGCGTGTCTGGCTCAACAAGACAGGGTGCTGGAGTCTCAAGCTGGCAGGAAAAGCAGGGGCAGAAGTAGTTGGCAGCCCTAAGGCAATTTCTGTGATCCAACCCGTCACAGGTACCTTTTCTGAGTTTTGTCAAATCTTCAGTGAAAGTGTTCTTAAAAGAAACTACACATGCTGGGTCATCATCCGAGACTGCTATAACATTAAATATATGGCAGAATATGGGTAAAACAGAGCAGGAAACATACAATTCTTCCCCAAGGAGTTCAGTCACACATTTAATTAATGCATTATTTTTTTAACGAGTGTTATCAGCATGGAAGCATGTCCCCTGGAATGGTGGCCAAAGAATGAAGGGGCATTCGAATGTTTAGCATATTTGACACATAAATACCTTGCAATGCCGGCTACAAAAGTGCCATGTGAACGCATTCTCACTTTCAGGTGACATTGTAAATAAGAAGTAGGAAGCATTATGTCCCGTAAATTTAAACAAACTTGTTTATCCTCGTGATTGGCTGAACAAGAAGTAAGACTGAGTGGACTTGTAGGCTCTAAAGTTTTACATTGTTTTGTTTTTGAGTGCAGTTATGTCACAAAAAAAATCTACATTTGTAGGTTGCACTTTCATGATAGAGATTCCACTACAGTACTTGTATGAGGTGAACTGAAAAAATACTATTTATTTTGTTTACAAATATTTTCACTCTAAAAATGATAATCAAAAATAATATAAAGTGAGCACTGTACACTTCGTATTCTGTGTTGTAACTGAAATCAATGTATTTGAAAATGTAGAAAAGCATCCAAAATATTTAAGAAATTTCAATTGGTATTCTATTGCTTAACAGTGCGATTAAAACTGAGATTAATCACAACTAATTTTTTAAATCGCAATTAATTTTTTTTTAGTTAATCATATGGGTTAACTGCGATTAATCGACAGCCCTAATTTCCAGAATAGATTACTGGACATCTTAAGAAACCTGCCAAAATTTTGTGAGTTATATCTATATAGCAGATTGTTAATAACTCATAGGAGAGAGGAGGAGTCAGAGATGGGGGACAAAAATTAAATAGAGGCACCAAAAGACTTCCATATGACAAGAGACTGAAAAGACTGGCATAGGTGCCGACTCACCCACCGGCAGCCAAGCTCTCCTCTTCCCACCAGCGCCTCCCGCCTGCCAGCTGCCCCACTGCTCAAGTCCTCTCCCTCCCTCCCAGTGCCTCCTGCACACCAACTGAAGTATAAAAATAATCAATGCTAGATAGAGAAAATAAATTGGGCCCACCTATTTACTTTTTCTCATAATACAAGAACAAAGATACTCTCAATTTAATTGAATAGTAGGACATTTAAAAGTAGAAAATGGAAAGGAGGAGGCTATGGAACTTGGGGAAGAGGGCGGATGGTTACACAGGGGCTGTAGCAGCGGTCTGTGCTCATGCTGCCTTTCCTGCACCTCAACCATATGCCGGAGCATATCAGTTTGATCCTCCAGTAGCCTCAGCATTGCATCCTGCCTCCTCTCACCACACCGACGCCACCTGTCCTCTCGCTCATTCCTCCTCTCCTCGTGTTCATTTTGTGCTTTCCTGGACTCTGACATTGTCTGCTTCCACATATTCTGCTGGGCTCTTTCAGTGTGGGAGGACTGCATGAGCTCAGAGAACATTTCATCACGAGTGCGGTTTTTTCGCCCTCTAATCTTCGCTAGCCTCTGGGATGGAGATGATAGGGGGAGCGTTGAAACATTTGCAGCTGCAGGAGGGAAAAAAAGGGATAGTAGTAGTTAAAAAGACATTTTAGAGAACAATGGGTAGACTCTTTCAGGGTGAACCTTGCTGTTAACATTACATAGCACATGTGCATTCGGTACAAGGTCGCATTTTGCCTCTTATATTGAGGGTCTGCCGGTTTGCTGTGAGAGATTACACACGCAGGGCCGGCGGGCAACAGAATTCGACTTGCAGGCAGCCATGGTAAGCCACAGTCTTTTGGCTTCTTTAAACTTCCTAACATGTGGGAATGGTTTCAAACAGCAGTGCCCTCATTTCACATACCAAATGGCCATTGGGTTGGCTCTTTAAAATGGGTTGGCCATTTAAAAGGAGGGGCTGCGATTTTCAGGTTAACATGCAGCACAAACTCAACTAACCCCCTCACCCTAGCCACCTCGGAACGTCCCCTTAATAAAATTCCCCTATTTCAACCAGGTGACCATGAATGATATCACTCTCCTGAGGATAACACAGAGAGATAAAGAACGGATGTTGCTTGAATGCCAGTAAACCCCAGGACCATACGCTGCCATGCTTTGTTATGCAATGACTCCAGACCACGTGCTATTGGCCTGCCATGGTAAAGTGTCCTTCCATGGAGGACGGAATAAGGCTGCCCTCCCCAGAAACCTTTTGCAAAGGCTTTGGGAGTACATCCAGGAGAGCTTGATGGAGATGTCCCTGGAGGATTTTCGCTCCATCCCCAGACACGTTAACACACTTTTCCAGTAGCTGTATTGGCCGCAAATTAATCATTAAACACACTTGCTTTTAAACCATGTATTATATTTACAAAGGTACACTCACCAGAGGTCCCTTCTCCGCCTGGCGGGTCCGGGAGCCCGCCTTGGGTGGGTTCGGGGGGTACTGGCTCCAGGTCCAGGGTGAGAAACAGTTCCTGGCTCTCAGGGAAAACGGTTTCTCCGCTTGCTTGCTGTGTGCTATCTTCAGTCTCCTCCTCCTCCTCATCTTCCTTGTCCCCAAAATGCGCATCCCTGTTGCGTGATAATCCATTGATGGAGTCAAAGCACAGGGGTGAGATAGTGGTGGCTGCACACCCTAGAATGGCATGCAGCTCACCATAGAGGCGGCATGTCTGGGCTCTGACCCCGCATGGCCATTTGCCTCTCTGGTTTTTTGGTAGGCTTGCCTGAGCTCCATAAGTTTCATGTTGCACTGCTGCGGGTCCCTGTTATAGCCTCTGTCCTTCATGCCCTTGGAGATTTTTTCAAATGTTTGGGCATTTAGTCTTTTGGAATGGAGTTCTGATAGCACAGATTCGTCTCCCCATACAGCGATCAGATCCTGTACCTCCTGTTCAATCCATGTTGGAGCTCTTTTGCGATTCTGGGATTCCATCATGGTCACCTCTGCTGATGAGATCCACACTCACCTGCAGCTTGGTACGCTGGCCAAACAGGAAATGAGATTCAAAAGTTCGCGTGCCTTTTCCTGTCTATCTGGCCAGTGCATCTGAGTTGAGAGCACCGTCCACAGCGGTCACAATGGAGCACTCTGGGATAGCTCCCCGAGGCCAATACCGTCGAATTGCAACCACACCTCCCCAAATTGGACCCAGCAAGGTCGATTTCAGCGCTAATCCCCTCATCGGGGGAGGAGTACAGAAATTGATTTTAACAGCCCTTTAAGTCGAAGTAAATGGCTTCATCATGTGGATGGGTGCAGGGTTAAATCGATCTAACGCTGCTAAATTCGACCTAAACTCGTAGTGTAGACCAGGGTTAAGTGGCCAGATAAGAGGGTGGTGGTGCAGGTATACAGCGTGATCTTTGAGTAGGCGCCAATAATGGTGTGTTTGTTGGAGCCTCCTAGGTTCTGTCTTTGCTGGATACCAAACTGGGGATATTAGTGTTACACCATTAAGGCAGGAAATAACAGTGCAGAATGACAGGTTTCAGAGTAGCGGTCGTGTTAGTCTGTATTCGCAAAAAGAAAAGGAGTACTTGTGGCACCTTAGAGACTAACACATTTATTTGAGTATAAGCTTTCGTGAGCTACAGCTCACTTCATTGGATGCATTCAGTGGAAAATACAGTGGGCAGATTTATATACATAGAGAACATGAAACAATGGGTGTTACCAGAATGCAAGACATTGAGTGTAAAGGACATTGGTGGTCAGTTTGGGCAGGCTAGTGAGGAACATTTTCCAGATCTGACAAACACAAGTTGTCTTTGTGTGCCAGTCCACAGAGCCAGTGCTAAAAGCTTCCTTTATCTTATTGCGCCCAGCTAATAATGTAGCAGTGTGACAGAGAATCTGAAGCCAGATTTCCTTTGTCCCAGTCCAGTGCCACAAGACTATCATTTCCCTCCTTTATTTATTCCTAGATTATTGGCTGAGAAACACGAGCTCACAGGGTGCATTATCAGGGCAGCTTTGTTTTTGCCTCTAGTGGCTCTAGAGCAGTAGCCAAGCGTGGGAAGCAGCATCAGTACTACCCATTGCCAGTTCCTGGTTTGGCAGTTAAACTAACCTGAAATAGGAGAGGAACCCTTTGTAAAAGCTGAGGAGGAGGAGCAGCTGTGGGGGAGCACTGTTTAGCTAAGCCAGGAACAGGAGAGGGAACTCTGCTCCCTAAGCCCCTCTTACTTTAACCTCTGAATAAGAGCTACAGGGCATTGCCCAGCGTGGAGTGTCCCCATGGAGTCCGCTGCTCCCATCCTCTGGGTGGGACATTGTTAAAGATTGGAGATCTTTAATTGTTTTCAGGACTGGATCCAGGGCTGTCGTTACCCATAGACAAAGTAAGCAGCTGCATAGGGCACCAGGAAATTTTGGAAATTTGGGGCACCAAATTTCCTGGTGCCCTGTGCAGCTGTATGCTGCTCCAGCCCCAGCTCCTGCTCTGCCTCAGCCCCGCCCCCACTCCACCCCTTCCCCAAAGCCCTTGCTCCACACAGCCTCTTCCTGCCCCGCCCCTTCCGCGTCCCAGTCTGGGCCCCACTCCCCTGAGGACTGAAGCAGGACCGGGACTGCACTCACCAGTGGTGGGAAATGCAGCGGCCCAGCTCCAGCCGCTGGTGAGTGCTGGGGGGTGGTTCTCCCCTGTCCCAAAAGCCAGTTCCCTCCGCACGGAGGCCTGGGGCCAGCCGCCTCCTGCCCCCATCGAGGGGCTGCGGAGGGCCCCAGAATAGCTAGGGATGGCTCTGACTGGATCCTCCCTGGAGCCGGAGGGCAGCCAGTGTGCAGCGAGTGCTTTTGTGGGGGTACAGCAGGCTTGCCAACCCTCCAGGATTGGCCTGGAGTCTCCTGGAATTGGCATTGATCTCCTTGTGACTACTGAAAGCAATCCGGGTGATTTTAATAGGATATTTTAAGAAAATGACATTACATCATGTTGGGGAAAATTTTTTTTTTCCCGGAATAGCTTCAGACAGAGTTGACAACCCTAGGGTGCAGCCAGTATGTGTGTGGGTAACAATGGGCCCCAGTGAGATGGGGGCACATGGGGGCAGGTAGAGCCACAGGCAGAAAGCAGGGGGTGGGGGTAGCTATAACCCCAGTGAGGTGTGGGGCAGGCCATAGGTGCTGGAACAGTTTTTTATAGTGGAGGGGCTGAAAGCCATTAAACAAAACTGTAAACCCTGTAAATCAGTGGTTCTCAAACTTTTTTTTTTTAAGGACCACTTGAAAATTGCTGAGGGTCTCAGCGGACCACTTAATGATCTTTCCAAATGTTGTTTGTACCATTAGCTAACTATTGTAAAGTGCTTTGGATAAAAGTGCTATATTAAAAAGACGTAATAATAATTAACATTTTTTTGTTCTACAAATAAAAGCACACAACTCATATTTTAATACCAGTAGTCTTACCTTTCTAATGCGATGGATGTACCCTCTCTCCCTTGCCACGGCAGCCCCTGAGCTGGAGTTGGGAAGGAGGTGGAGGGTGTCTCTCCCTGGCAGCTGCAGCCCTGGAGCTGGGGAAAGTCACGTCTTTCTCAGGCTGACGCAGCCCTGCCTGTCCCAAATTCCCCCCACCCCATCTTTTCGCCCCACTGCCTCCTCCTACCTACCTCCTATTCTCCCCAAGGCCACTGTCTCACCTTACATGTGCTTCTTCTGCAGGATCTAGGCACCTAATTAGCCATGCCTGTGTGGCTCCACCAGGGCCACCCCTAACTATGGTGGTGCCACACGCAGCCCGAGCACCTGTGGGGGAGCAGCTGCTCTACTGTGGGGCTGGCCCCTCCACGGCGGGAGCTGCGCTCAAGGGCTGCAGGGCCACAGGGGCAGATGCTGCGGGGGGCAGCAGCAGGGCAGGGATGCCCAGGGCAGCGCAGGGCATTAGCAGGGGGCCTGACCCCAGCAGCAGGAGTCAGGCCTGCACTCACGGATGGCAGCGGGAAGCAGAGCAACCTGGCCCCAGCTTGCTCCACTCCCCCAGCTCCCAGCCCTGTCTCTTGGGGAAGGGGGCTTGGAGGAAGCGGTCAGGCCCGCCCCTGCAGTCACCAGCGGCAGCAGCAGGAAGCGGAGCAACAAGACTTGGAGATGGCACAGCAGAACAGGCTGGAGCCGGGTCGCTCTGCTTCCCACTGCCGCCACTGGTGAGAGCGGGGCCGGGCCCGATCCCTTCTGCCAGTTCTAGTACCCCCATGGGCCACGTCGCCCGTGGAAGGGGATTTGGGGAAGGGGTGGAATGGGGGGGGTGGGGGCGGAGCAGGGGCGGGAAGAGGTGGGGCTGGGCGGAGCAGAGGTGAGGGCTTGGGGGAAGGGGTTGAATGGGGCAGGGCGGGGAAGGAGCAGGAGGCCTAGCCGGGGGATGGAAGAGCCAGTGCCGCATATTCAGCCCCAAATTACGTGGTGCCTTACACAGCTGCGTATACCAAAGGATGGCCCTGTGGGTGGCCCTTCATTCTCTTGCGTGCTGCCGCCCAGGAACGCACCTTAAGACGGAACTATCTGTGACCACCTGAATGGAGCTTGTGGATGACCACAGTTTGAGAACCACTGCTGTAAATCAGGGAAACCACTTCAAACCAGGCAGTGCTGCCGCACCCCCCTTCACCCCTAGTTCCAACACCTATGGAGCAGACAGGGGGCGAGGTTAGCTATAGCCCCAGAGGGACTGGGGGCAGGCAGGGGTAGGGGAGGTAGCTATAACCCCAGGGAGGTGGGGGGGGGCAGGCAGAGGGATGGGAGGTAGCTATAGCCCCAGGGTGGCAGGGGTGGGGGTAGCTATAGTCCCAGGGGGGTGAGGGAGGGCAGGCAGGGGGACAGGAGGTAGCTATATCCCCAGGGAGACAGGGGTGGGGGTAGCTATAGCCCCAGGGAAGTGGGGTGGGGGTAGCTATAGCCCCAGAGAGGTGGGGGGGGGCAGGCAGAGGGACGGGAGGTAGCTATTACCCTAGGGAGGCAGGGGTGGGGGTAGCTATAGCCCCAGGGGGGTGGAAGGGCACGCAGGGGGAAGGGAGGTAGCTATAGCCCCAGGGAGGCAGGCGTGGGGGTAGCTATAGCCCGAGAGAGGCCAGGGCAGGAGGCAGAGGGACGGGAGGTAGCTATAGCCCCAGGGAGGCAAGAGTGGAGGTAGCTATAGCCCCAGGTGGGTGGGGGGCAGGCAGAGGGAGGGGAGGTAGCTATAGCCCCAGGGAGGCGGAGTGGGGGTAGCTATAGCCCCAGAGAGGTGGGGGGGGCAGGCAGAGGGACGGGAGGTAGCTATAGCCCCAGGGAGGCGGAGTGGGGGTAGCTATAGCCCCAGGGAGGCCAGGGCAGGCAGCCAGAGGGACGGGAGGTAGCTATAGCCCCAGGGAGGCAGGGGTGGGGGTAGCTATAGCCCCAGGGAGGCCAGGGCAGGCAGGCAGAGGGAGGGGAGGTAGCTATAGCCCCAGGGAGGCGGAGTGGGGGTAGCTATAGCCCCAGAGAGGTGGGGGGGGCAGGCAGAGGGACGGGAGGTAGCTATAGCCCCAGGGAGGCCGGGGCAGGGAAGGCAGCTATAGTCCCAGGGGGCGGGAGAGTAGCCAGCGCCTAGGCAGCCCCCTGCTCTGCCCCCACTACCGCTCCCTGCCGACAGACTGGGACAGCGGCCTGGCTGCAGGCAGGTCCGGGGGATGTCAGGCCTCGAGCCCCAACCCACATACCCTAACCTCGGCGTAGACGTCCGGAGCCCCATACACCGCCCTGGCCTCTCGGTTACCATGACAACCGCCCCGCGCCCCCTCTGCAGCAGGAATGGCTGTATGGCCCCCAGCGGGGCTGCCCAACACGTTGCCTGAACCATAGAAAATGAAACCGCAGCTCGCGGTCGGTTGTTGGTGGCGGGCTCAGAGCCTGTTCCTTCGAACTCAGGCAGGCGCGGCAGTCGCCTCTGCGGGGGCCTGGCCCTGTGCTGGAGAGAGTGCGAGGCAGGCGCGGCGGTAAGCGTGGGGTGGGGGCTGGCTGTCGGTGTCCCCCCTCCTCCGCCGCTGTGGCCCGTCCGGGCAGGGCCCAGCGCCCGCAATCCGTGTGGCGGTCCGGCTGCGTGCGGAGCGCAGACTCGTGCGGACGGTGGCGGCGCCTTGCCCGTGTGTCTGCGGGCCCTGTCCCCCCATCACTTCTCAGAGCCTGACCTCGGCGGGGCGCCCAGCCCCCTGCCCCGAGTTGCGAGGGTAACTGCAGAGCCCCTTCTGTGCTGGCATGGGGGGGTGGCCGCAGCGCTGACGGGGCCCGGAGGGACATGCTCAGGAGCCCCCCAAGGCGTCTGTGTACATAAAGTGCATAGGGCGGGAGTGGGGCCTCAGCCGGCATGAAGTACCAGGTCCCCAAATTTATCTCCACAGGCCTGGCGGCCGGGCCAAAGCGAATGTGCCTGGCCCCCAGGAGTGAAAATCAAATTGAAAACTTAACGGCACAGGGCCTGCTCCGGCCCCAGTGGAAGGGGCGGGGCTGGGGGTCAGCGTCTCCCTAGGCCGCGCCGCCGCGGGATCCACGGGCGATTTAAAGGGCCCAGGGCTTCGGCCGGTGTTGTCGCTACCACAGCAGCGGTCAGAGCCCAGGGCCCTTTTAAATCACTGGCCCCGGGGCAGCTGCTTCTCCCCCCCCCCCCCCCCGTTGGCAGCCAGGGGGTGCAAAAGGGGCAGGGACGATAAAATGTTGCTGCGGCAGTGCCTTAAGTAGGGTCTGTGCCGTGGCAGCGCTTAAGGACCCTGCAGTATTTTAACGTCGCTGCCCCTTTCGCACGCCCCCATCGGCGGCCCTGCTGCTAGGGACCCGCCAGGGCCGCTGATGGGGAGCGCAAATCGGCGGCGATGTTAAAGCGCTGACGCAGCAACACTTTAAAGCAAGGCAGTAGGGGCCGGTACCTGCGGCTACTATTTACCAGTACGCAGTACTAGCCTGTACTACCTTACTTTCACCCCTGCCGGCACCTTTATGATTCCTTGGTCCCCACATGTTGGCAGTCCTTCTGGCACCCATGTCTGGGAAAGATGGGGACTCTGAGACATACGGAGGCCCTACCAGTACTCCTATGTCTGTGATCACGACAGTGACCCATGCATGCACACGCCCACCCATACACCCACTGTCTCCCCTATGCATTGAGGGTGTGTACACTGCAAAAATAGGGTAGTTTCTACGCTAGCTCTGGTGAACATATCACTGAAGACACCAGACCTTGGGTTAGCTCAAATTAAAGCCTGTAGCAGAGCTTGGAGTTGAACTCAAGTTATTAACTCATGTTAAAAGATGAGTTGACATGTCTTTGCTGCAATTTTAATCAAATCAACTAGTCCGGGTGAGCTGTGTTAAGAGCACACACTTTTTTGTGTGTGTGGTGTACACATGTTTTCTGTCTCTACTATTATCCATGTGTCATAGCTTGTGTATCAGTGAACTTGACAGTGACACAGCTACACTGCAGCTGGAAGGGGTAATTCCCAGGTTGGGTAGACGCACATGTGCTAGTTCTGGTTGAGCTAGTACACTAGAAATAGTAGTATGCATAGTGTAATGGGTGACGGGTTTGGCTAGCCACGCGAGTACAGTCCGAAATGCTAAAAACATACTTTAGATGGGTAGCCCGACCCACCACTATGGCCACATTGCTATTTTTAGAGTAGCAATCAGAGCTAGCAGGCATATGTCTACCAGAGCCCCAAATCCCTGCCAGCAGCAGTGTAGATATGCCCAGACACAAGTCTTGATGCTAACACAGATACCAAGACATTGATTCAAGCCCACATGGACAGATAAGGACAAGGACGCTGATAGGCTTTGTGACATGGGAAGTGTCATTGGTGTGATTAATTACTATGATACACAGAGTTTCTGAAGGTCTGATTTGAATTGAAAATCTGTTGATGAAATATCCCATGTTCATAGGAACTGTGATTTTTTGCAGTTGCATTTGGAAATGCAGTGGCAGTGGATGGAGAAAGTGTTTCTTTGGAAAAGTATTCTCACCTTTAGAGTATCCTTGCTTGTTTGCACAGCAGAAAATTTGTGTAAGTTAAACAAATTAAAATATTTAAGCTTTCACTGAGCAAGCTGCCAAATAAACTTTCTAAGCAACTGATAATTGAAACTGTTAAGAGATAATTTGTGAATTCCTCGCATACTATGAAATGAGAAGGGATGTGAAGTAAGAAGTGTGGGAGAGGTTATTAAACTTTCCATTGTAGAATATCCATAAATCCTGAGATTAGTTTCAAATAATACTGTGCTAATCAAACATTTTATTTCAGGGAAGAATGAACGCATGTGGGACCAAAATAATTGTTGGTGTAAGCAGGTGCAATTTCATTATAGTTATTGGAGTTACTCTTTCTTATATTAGCAGTGAATTGGATCTATAGTTTGATAAACAATGCAGAAATACAGAGATGCTTGTGGTTTTACTACATAATCATAGAATGCTGTTTATGTATTGGGCAGTATTGAAAGAAAAGGTAAAATTTTTAAGATTATAGCTTTTGAAGGTATCACCTATGATAGGAGAAGACACAAAACAAACCCACTGTATTTGCAGTTTTTTTTATTTTACATTGGAATAAAGCCTCCAAAATGTTAAATCATCTGAAATAGAAGCAATAATTTTCAGTTTTGTAAATATTCATTTTTTTCCTGATGTTCTGAACATTTCCCACCCTTCTCACTGAAAAGTTTTGTAGGTTTTATTAAACAACATCAGTTATAATAAATTTTTGTTAAGAATGTTTGAAATGTTAGTATAACCAAAAGCAATGAGTGGTTCCTATGCATGGTTCCTTGAATCTTTTTCTACGCTCGCTACTGCAAATGATTACAGAAATCAAAAGACAAGAGTAAGTCATTTGAACTTTTCTGAGGTCCAGAAAAGTTATATTATCTTGTGCAGCGAGCAAATGTATTTTGCTCAGTTAAAAACTGACTCAGTGTGGGACCAGGTATCAAATGTCATTAGATTATTAGAATTAACTAGATTTATGTACACAGAAGTATTGTAATTGGTCAAGTGTTTTTGTCATTTTTGATTGCTTACAGCGTATTCAGCTGTCCTTGCCACAACTGCTTAGTCTAGGCAGGAAACATCTGAAGGCCCTTGGTGGTGACATTAAGTAACACAATCTGTGTTTATTTAGGACCCAGTCCTGCAAACACTTATAGACATGCTTAACTTTAAGCACATATTTGTTTGTAGGTCTGGGTTTTACGTCTGAGAGCAGAAGAGCCAAAGAGAATGGCAGGGTTCTGGCTGTGTCCAGTGACTTAAAATCCCCTTTATACTGACCGCAAACTGAGGCCTGTCTCATCTTTACCATCACTGATTCTACAGTCGCTTCTTCCAGACAGGTAGTAAATTCAGAATTTGCTGTAGCTAGTTAAAGTAGCTCATCATTGTTAGTCCTAACAATGAGGCAATACTATAAACACTGTAAAAGTTTATTTTGTGGTGTTTTCAGCTGCACAGGCCACTTGTCCTGATATCACCGTGACTCAACAGCTTCTGAAAGAGGGATTTCATAGGTGAGTTGATGACAGCCATGTACTTGAGCAATGCATCAGTTGCTAGTTACTCAGGGCCCCTGTTCTGCAAACATGCGTGTACTTAACTGTATGCATGTGAGTAGCTCCATTGAACTAATGCATAATTGAACAAATGCACTGCACTGTATTCAGTGGGATTACTTATGAGTAAGGGTAAGCATATATGTAGGTGTTGGCAGGATCAGTGCTTAAATATTTAGTGGCCACCTATTAGTTATATCACGGCAAGGACATGAAGCCAACACGAAAATGTATTTCTGAGTATTTTCATTAATACTGGTGCATGAATGGGGAATTAACAAAAAAGAGAGATGTTGGTTTTCACAGATATGGAAATACAATAAAATATTGTTTCCTAAAAGGAAAAGGTCAGATTCTAGATAGATAAATGTTGTTTTCTATATTCTCAGAGTATCCTACAAATAGCAGAGAGCCACATCTAATATTTGAGATGATGAGTTTAAATTTTTGTGCAGTTATTTGAAATTTATGCTAACATTTTTTTTTTTTTTAAGAGACCTGCTAACAAAGGTAGAACTTGGTGCAGGGGATGAAGCCATAGGAAGCTGCACTGTGGCAATTAAAGAACACCTACCAACAGGACTTTATGTGGATCCCTATGAGTTAGCATCATTGCAACAGCACAACCTAACAGAGGTACGATGTCCAAGTGGTCATGTTGAATTGTTTGGAAGTGGTTCAAACAATAAAAAACATATCATGATTTGAATATTTGTGAGTAAATATCCAGTGTCTATAATTTGAAACTCCATTAGCATGAAGATGAACTTTCATCAGCCATTCCGATTTGACCCTTCCCTCTTATGTCAGAGCTTTCTACTATGTAGGGGCACAGTCATGGATGGAAACTAGAATGAAGGGAAAACAGCTTGCATTAGATTGAAGTAACTGTCCAGGAGTTGTTAGGGAAGATGATCCTGAGGCTCTGAGGAACTCCCCCAGAAGATGTGGTTATAGTGCAGTTGGAAGACATGTAGGGTACTTCTATAGGATTCTCTTATTAGTTATATAGGTAGTGTGTTTTTCAGAATATTGGGTGTGAATATATTGGCTCTCATGAGCAATATAGACTTGTACAGAGTGCAGGGGAGGATGGTGGTATTATGGTTTATGGTGACACCAGTGACCTGGGGAACTGTAGGAAAGAGGCCCTGGAAGCTAAATGTATCCATATAGTTTAGAAAAAGTTTATGGGACTCTACTAAAGCATTTCTTCAAAATGCTCCAGGTTCTTCACACAAGGCCTACTGAGAAACAAGAAGTATCAGGAAATGCATGCAAAGTAGTTGTAGGAGCACTTTGGGATGCTTGGGAATGAAAATCACTTTCTGAGGAAGGATGGCATTGTGTTTAAGGTGCTATACTGAGACTTGGGAGACTTTGTTCAGGTTCCTGACTCTGCCACAAACAGTCTGTGTGATCTCAGACAAGTTCCTTAATCTATGTGCCTCAGTTCTTCCTCTGTAAAGTGGAGATGATGATCTCTTTATTCCATCCTTTGTCTATCTTGTCTATTTAGGTTGTAAGACCTGTCTCTTACTATGTGTAGATATGGTGCCGAACACAATGGGACCCCAAACTCCATTGGAATTTTTAGGCAGTACTGTAATACAGATTTAAAATATTGGCCCAAGTGTAGTCCTCAGGTAACTACCGTAACATCACTGAAGTTAGCAGCATAACTGTGATGGGCGCTATATGAATAGGACAGACACAGAATGAACATGGCTCATTTTATTTTAGTCATCCTGAGGAAAAAGATCTCTAGTCTGGGAATTAAATTGTTGTCTCCCTCATGACATTGTAGTAGGGTACCTTGACAGGTTGACTGTTTTAGTCATTTTAATCCTGTATTCCCTATATAACAATATCAGTGTGTTTTTCATGACATTCATTCTTCTGTATTGACTGTGTCTGTGTTTTCCACAGGCTCTGATGTTTCCAGATACTGTTGATGTGGAATCTCCTGAGTACTTAGCCACAGACCTTGCCATTGTTGTTTACATGAAACCTGACCCTCAGTGTGCTCGGTGTTTTAAAGCCATGTTGCCTGTGCACTGCCGGTATCACCGGCCAACAGAGGATGATGGGGAAGCACTTTCTCTTCTGAAGAGTCCAGAAATATTGATTCATTGCCATAAAAGTGAGAAATACACATAACTCCTACTTTGTTGTATGAAATAGGGAGGGATTAGAGAAATAACTATTACCATACAGAGTGTGAAATCCAGACTTTGGGGAAAATCACTGGTGGAGAGAGGTATGTGGATAGTCATTTAAAAACTGGGAAAATAGTGACTGCAAATGAAGGGCAAATTATTTTTTTACATCTATTTGGATCAATGCTACTTTATCCTGACAAAGGGCTAATTTAGTTGTTAATAAACTTCTTGGAAATCCCAGTTATACCCGTTTTATCCTCTAAAGTAACCCCAGGGGAAGGAGGATTGTATCCCCTAATATGGGTCTTTAAGATGGGAGTGTTGACAGTTGGCCTGCTCCTTAGAATCCCTGTAGAATCTGGACTGATGAAGGTTTGTATGGCCCACCTGTTTCCACAGCATTCTACCTTGCAATTGATGCAGTTCATGGCTTAGTCTATACAAAGGAAAGCTGAACTGTATCAATCAAAAGTATTCCGGTGCTTTCCAGCCCTCACAGTGTTCAAGTAGGAAAATCTTTGTAGGGACTCTTGACTTTCTGACAGATGGAATGATAGGGGCCTGCGACTATTTAAAAAAAAAAATCCAATATCTCATAATAATCATTTAAAATCTTATAAACAATCAAGTCCCCACTCCTACTACAAATGTGTTTCTTTTCAAGAGACAGGCTCTCCCTAGCTCACCGCCAAACCAGATATGTGAATACGTTTCTCACCTTTATGTCTTTACTCAGGCATTATTTGATGGATTATTTTCACTCTTACATCTTTGGGACTGTAGGGGGGTTCTATATACTTTGATGATGGGATCTCAAGACTCTTTGCCTTCCCTTGTCTCCCTGCCACCTATAGTAAACTTTAATGGTAGGGATTTCCTAGTAATAGACTAAATTTAAAAAATAGCATTGCAGAGATACAACAGGAGTCCATAAAGAGAAATGTTAAAATAGGTTATTATGGGGTATGGTGGAGGCAGGAACCATAGCAGCAGGGCTGGAAATTGGAGACAGCTCATAGACCAATGGTGAAATCCTGGTGCCATTTGAATCGTATTTCATCCCCATTTGCTATTCAGTGGGGCTAGGATTTCACCACTGGTGTAGACTTTCTTATATATCCAAAAATTTGTTGAGTTTAAGGATTTATGAAAGGGACTGACGGCACTAGTTTGAATCTGCAGGTTTCCCAGCGAAGTTCTGCCAGTGTTGATGTTCTTTCGCCCCTTAGCTTTTAGTCTTTTAGTGAGTAGAGACTGCTAAACTGCATGACAGACAGATATCCCCTTTGAAATGATTTTGCATTCCATATATTGCTTCATCCTGGTCTGATTCTTGGTGTAACATACTTCTGCTTTTCCTAGGTTTCCCATCAGTTGAATGTTGGAAGTATTCTGAAGTGGAAGCTCCATGTTCAGTGAGAAACCGGCATATCTGTCATTGGAACAATGTGAAGTACAAACCTGTAAGTTCCTACTTCAGACCAGAAGGGGCCTCCTAGATCATTTAATCTAGTCGCTTGCTATTGCAGACAGCCCTGTCATATAATCCCATTCATAAACTTGTAAGAACATAGGAACAGCCATACTGGGTTAGACCAATGGTCCAACTAGCCCAGTATCCTGCCTTCTGACAGTGGCCCATGCCAAGTGTCCCAGAGGCAATGAACAGAACAGGTAATCATCGAGTGATTCATCCCCTGTCGCCCATGCCCAGCTTCTGGCAAACAGAGGCTAGGAACACCATCCCTGCCCATCCTGGCTAATAGCTATTTCTGAACCTATCCTCCATGAATTTATTTAGTTCTTGAATCCTGTTATAGTCTTGGCCTTCACATCATCCTCTGGCAAGGATTTCCACAGGTTGACTCTGCATTGTGTGAAGAAATACTTCTTTTTGTTTGTTTTAAACCTGTTGCCTATTAATTTCATTGGGTGCATCCTAGTTCTTGTGTTATGAGGAGTAAATAACACTTCCTTATTTACTTTCTCCACACCAGTCATGATTTTATAGACCCTATCATATCACCCCTTAGTCATCTCTTTTCCAAGCTGAAAAGTCCCAGTCTTATTAATCTCTCCTCATATGGAAGCTGTTCCATACCCCTAATCATATTTATTGCCCTTTTCTGAACCTTTTCCGTTATACCTTTTTTGAGATGAGGTGACCATATCTGCACGCAGTATTCAAGATGTGACATATCATGGATCTGTATAGAGGCAATATGACACTTTCTGTCCTCCTATATATCTCCCTCCCAATGATTCCCGACATTCTGCTAGCTTCCTTGACTGCCCTTGCACATTGAGTGGATGTTTTCAGAGAACTATCCACAAGGACTCCAAGATCTCTTTCTTGAGTGTTAACAGTTAATTTAGACCCCATCATTTTATATGTATAGTTTGGATCATGCTTTCCAATGTGTATTACTCTGCATTTATCAACATTGAATTTCATCTGCCACCTTGCCGTCCAGTCACTCAGTTCTATGAGATCCCTCTGCAGCTCTTGAGTAGTTTTGCATCATCTGCAAAATTTGCCACCGCACTTTTTACCACTTTTTCTAGATCATTTATGGTCCCAGTACAGACCCCGGGGGACACCACTATTTACCTCCCTCCATTCTGAAAACTGACCATTTATTCTTACCCTTTGTTTCCTATCTTTTAACTAGTTACCAATACATGAGAGGACCTTCCTTCCCATCCCTTGATAGCCCACCTTGCCCAAGAGCCTTTGGTGAGGGACCTTGTCAAAGGCTTTCTGAAAATCTAAATACACTATATCCACTGGATCCCCCTTGTCCACATGCTTGCCGACCCCCTCAAAGAATTTTAGTAGATTGGTGTGGCATGATTTCCCTTTACAAAAACCATGTTGACTCTTCCCCAACAAATTATGATCATCCATTGTGTCTGACAAATCTGTTCTTTACTATAGTTTCAACCAGTTTGCCCGGTATTGAAGTCAGGCTTACTGGTCTGTAATTGCTGAGATCACCTCTGGAGCCCTTTTTAAAAATTGGCGTCACATTACCTATCCTCCAGTCATTTGGTACAGAAGCTGATTTAAATGATAGGTTACAAACCACAGTTAATAGTTCTGCAATTTCACATTTGAGTTCCTTCAGAACTCTTGGATGGATACCATCCGGTCCTGGGGACTTATTACTGTTTAATTTATCAGTTTGTTCCAAAACCTCCTCTAATGTTACCTCAATCTGGGACAGTTCTTCAGATTTGTCACCTAAAAAGAATAGCTCAGGTTTGGAAATCTCCCTAACATCATCAGCCGTGAAGACCAATGCAAAGAGTTCATTTAGTTTCTCCGCAATAGCCTTATTGTCCTTGAGCTCTCCATTAGCATCTCTATCGTCCAGTGGCCCCACTGGTGGTTTTGCAGCTTCCTGCTTCTGATGTACTTTAAAAAAAAATTTGCTTTTACTTTTTGAGTCTTTGGCTAGCTGTCCTTCAGATTCTTTTTTGGCCTTCCTAATTATATTTTTCCTAATTTTATATTTGCCAGAGTTTATGCTCCTTTTTTTTCCTCACTAGAATTTAACTTCCGCTTTTTAAAGGATGCCTTTTTGCCTCTCTCTCTTTCTTTTACTTTGTGGTTTAGCCACGGTGGCACTTTTTTGATTCTCTATGTTTTTTTAATTTGGGGTATGCATTTAAGTTGAGCCTCTATTATGTTGTCAAGCTTCATTTTAAAACTAGGTAGGTTGTTTGCATCCACCACTCCTATTGGGAGGCTGTTCCAGAACCTCATGCCTCTGATGGTTAGAAACCTTCTAATTTCCAGCCTAAACTTGTTCCCATCCAGTTTGTCCCCATTTGTTCTTTTGCCAATGTTGTCCTTTTTCTTGAATAGCTCGTCTCCCTCCCTGGTGTTTACCCAACTCTTGTATTCATAGAGAGCAGTCATATTCCCTCTCAACCTTTGTTCAGCTAATCTAAACAAGCCAAGCTTTTTTAGTCTCCTCTTGTAAGATAGACTCTACATTCCCTAATCATTTCTGCACCTGTTTGAGTTTGAATCCATGTTTCTTGAACATGGGTGACCAGAACAGTACACAGTATTCCCAGTGAGGTCTGACTAGTGCCTTGCACAATGGCATTAATACTTCCCAATGTCTACTTGAAATATCTTGCCTGATACATCCCAGGATTGCATTTGCCTTTTTTTAATGGCCACCTTGCATTGGTGCTCATAGTCACCCTGCGATCAGCTTATGCACCTAGGTCTTTCTCCTCCTCTGTGTTTTCAACTGATGAGCCCCTAGCTTAAATGAGACATAGTTATTTGATTATTCTTTAATTTTATCTGCCCATAACTACTCCTAACAATGTCTAGCCTATTTGGTGCTGGGGTCAGTGGGGAGTGGGAAAAATGGTGTACCAATAAAATAAAAACGAGCAGGATCTTATTAAAGAGGAAAAGGCAAAATACCACATTTATTGTGAAAACAGAAAGAATCATAGTAAGAAGTTAGTTATAGCTATAACATTCCATTCAATCTCATATTTATTCACACATTCAATCATACAAACACACACACACACACAGGTTCTGCAAGGTTGTTATCATAGTTACCAGCCTTAGAGTTGCTCATGCCAAGCCACTGGCCAGGTGGCCTGGACATGAGGAGGGAGCAGGGCCTTGTCAGATGCTCATCTGATGCTCCTGGAAGTTGGTTTGCAGAATCAGACGCCAAAATTCTCACTTTCTAGAGTCCATTTTTGTAGGAATTTCTTCCTATGCCAGTCTATGGGAATTGCTTCATCATGCTGTTGCTGAATCAATCAGCCGATAGCACATTCCTGACGGCTCCGTGCTGCTAGATGTTATCTTGTTCTTTGGTTCTCCCATTCTTGAGGCTGTTGGGTGGATTCCAGTCTGCCCTCTGGGGGTCCTCTGGTTATTTCCACTTGACGCCTTCTTCAGCCGGTGGACACTGGATTCTTAGGCTGGCACCTCCCTGATCATTCAGTTATTATCCACACCAAGCATCCATCCACATACATCCTCTATCTCTATTTTAATCACAATTGTTAATACAACAAAAGGGTGGGGAGTCTTTGGGTGCTGTTTCTGTTGTTACAGAGTATTGCTTTGAGTCTCTCTCTGTGTGAATTGCTTTGAGAACAGACTCTGTCTTAGAATGTACTAATGCAATTAGCAGCTTGCAAGTTTCACACATAGAGGGAGAGAAACAGTACCAAAAACCAAGAGACCTCTTAATTAGTAATACCCTGGAATTTAAACTGTGGGGAATCAAACTCATTTGTGATTTTAATACAGAACTTCTTTAATATGATCCAACAACTCAACTCATGCTCTACTTCCATTAAAGGATTTTTCTTGCATATCCCCTTACGAGAACTGACTGGTCTATAATTCCCTGGGTTGTCCTTATTCCCCTTTTTTATACACAGGTACTATATTTGTCCTTTTCCAGTCCTCTGGGATCTCTCCTGTGTTCCATGAGTTCTCAAAGATAATCGCTAATGGCTCAGAGATGTCTTCAGCCAGTTCCCTGAGTATTCTAGAATGTATTTCATCAGGCCCTGCTGACTTGAAGACATCTATATTGTTGATTTTTAATTTGTTGTTTTCCTATATGAGCCTCAGATCCTACCCCATTTGCACTGATGTTCATTATGTTCGTTGTCTAATAACTGCTAACTTTTTTTGATGAAAACTGAAACAAAAACGTCATTTGACACTTCTGCCATTGCTGCATTTTCTGTTATTGTCTTTCCCTCCTCATTGAGTAACGGGCTTACCTTGTCCTTGGTCTTTCTCTTGCTTCTAAAGTATTTGTAAAATGTTTTCTTGTTACCCTTTATGTCCGTAGCTAGTTTAATCTCATTTTGTGCCTTGACCTTTCTAATTTTGTTCCTAAATGTGTTGTTTTTTAATACTCATCCTTCATAATTTTACCTAGTTTCCACTTTTGCTCCCTCTGTACATTCTGTGCTGTCCGTTTCCTTGATGACTGTTGCTGTCTCTGGACCTTTCCCCCTCCTGTAGTGGTTTACCTGGAGCCCTGAGGTATAACTGATGTTATGCATTGGTCTTCATAACTAGGCTGGGCAGAATTCTATTTTTTTATACATATAATTTTGATGGATAATATAGATGTTTATTTTTAAACATTTTCTCAGTTTTTACCAATTTAAATTTTCACAGTTGTGGGAAATTGAGGGTCAGACAATAATTATTTAATTATAGGAGATGCTGAGATTCAAAAAGTTAAAGCTCTATAACCACTGAAATACAAATTGTCAACATCACATGTCAGAATATACAAAGTAAATATCCTTATTCTAATAAGTTCTCAAGCATCATTTTTCTTACTTTACTTCTCTGTAAATTTTTATTACCATTGATGGAAATATTTTTTCATCTGGTGTGTGTACAGTGAAATAGCTGCTTACTGACATTTAACAATAAAAAACTAATCCTTCCAAGCCTATGCATAAGGATTTTACTCCTAGTTTGAAGAACAAAAGGAGGAAGGTGAATGTGAATGTTCTTGGGTTTATACATTTTGTGTTGGATGATTATTTTTAGAGAAAAGTTTAAAGAACGATAAAGGGAAAGGCCTTTCATGCCAATCTGGATGCAAACCTATGGCTTATGTCTCTGATGAAGTTTTTTTTTTTTTATTTCATTTACACTGGTTCTGGATTCAAGTCCTTGATACAGTCAGCACTTGATTTGAAACTCAACAGTGCTGCAGTAGTGCAGAGATTCTGAAATAAGAGTGACCTGGCACTGTAATTTGAGCAACTCTGCATCTCGGAAATCTTTGGAGGCCACAGAACATTAAAGGTGACCTGCAAAGGATTTAAAGAAGGTGGTGTTTGTGTCCTTTTTTGCTTCTTTATATATAAAGACGGCATGGAAGCTTTTGGTCAGTTTTTCTTTTGTTTTGTTTTTTAAAAAAGTCTTTTTGCTTTTTTCCACACGGAAATATCGGGAATATCGTGTCTGGTCACCTGCTTTTACTGGAGGACTTCTTGTTTACTGTTCTTGACAAAAATCTTCAGGACTTCATTAATAATAAGGAGCATAAAAGGATGCAAGCCCTTTTTTTGTCTTTGCAGGTCATAGTTACATGAGAGTTATTTATCCAGGTATTCATTCCATAAGCTTATTTCTCCAGTCCTATAGTGTGCGGGAGTTGCATAATGTCCCTAATGTCAAGGTTAATATAAGAGCAAAGCTGTAGAGAAAATAAATGAACAGTACAGTGCCTCTGGTACTGTGTACCAGATAAATGCCCCAGAAGTTCAAGAAGAAGCCAGTTCTCAAGATGGGCAGACAGACTAAATGGAAATGTCTCCCCCCCCCCCACTTTGACTTTTGAACTCCAATACTGTATGAAAGGATAAATCTTGTAAATGAATGGAGAGTGCCTGAGCAACTAGAGTGGTTAAATGATGTTGAAGGCTGTTTACTAACATTAAATAGACTGTGCTGTGAAGCTTGCTTAATTACCATATATAAACGAGAAACAAAAGCTATTGAAAATGGAATAATAGCTCAAGAATATGTTTTTACTCGGGTTTAACATCCAACTCTCTCTTCATAGGTAAATAAGGAAGTGATACTGCAGGTTCCAGTGGGACTCAAACAACACAGTGCCTTGGTATGTGCAGTGACTTTTCTTACCACCGTCCTGTGCTCCAGTCTGGTTCTTGCAGCTGTATACAAATATGGACACTTCTCCTTGGTGCACTGCTCAGAATGAAACTGAGCAAGACTTTATAGCTGGAGTCAGTACAAAACAATAATGAGTACCATGCATTAAATTTAACTGAATGCAAACTTAGTCTGTTCCATTTAGGGTTCCATAAATGGAATGCAGTTTATTATCTATAACCTGTATTATGGTAATGCCTAGAGGACCCATCTGAGATCATGACCCTCGTGTGCCAGGCACTGTACATACGCCTAGTAAGAGACCATCCCTGCACTAAATAACTTGCATTCTATTTAGACAAAGCAGGCAAAGGATGGGAGGGAGAACAAAGACAGAGAGAGATGAGGCAACTTTCCCAAGGTTATGCACCAATTCATTGGCAGAGCTGGGAACAGAACTCAGGTCTCCTGTCTCCTAATCTAGTGTGCCCTACGTTCTGGACCACACTGCCTCTCGTTACGCATTCTTCTTCCAAGATTTTAAACAAACTGACTTGGTAGATTGATTATTATCAGATAAAGAAGTTCCCTGGTCGTTTGAATTTTAAACTGGTACATAATTAAGCTCTGTTGTATCTGAATTTGTTTTGTGAGGCTGTACATTTAACCTGGAACAGGAAAGGATTTCCAAGCATTGGAAAGACACAATGGTCCCTATTTTATTAACGTTGACTTTCAGGAGGCAGCCAGATTTATATGATTTTAAAGAGGCCTTACAAATTTGGAAGAAACTTCCAGGTGTTTAATGAGTAAATCAGAAGCTGGACTAATAATTCTGATTTTTCAGAGGATAATAGAGCCTGTGAAATAATAGAGCCTCATCCAAATAGGAATTATTTTGAGAAAGTTCTGTGCATGTGTTATGCAGGAGGTCAGACTAGATGACCACAGAGGTCCCTTCTGGCCTTGGAATCTATGAATCTATGAAATGATGCTAAGCTGGAATTGAATACTTGGAAGACTGGAGGTAATCATCGGAGCTATTAAGAAATACAAGGAAACAGAGAGGAAATTGCTTCATTAATGGAAAAACTGAGCTGCCCCAAATATAACTTGTGTTTCTGTTGTCTGTCAGTAGGGGGCATTATGAGCTTAAGATAACTCCTAAAACAGATTTGTGCAGAAGACTGTTTTATTTCCCATATATCTAGAGGATATTAAATATAAGTGATTCTGTTTATGAAATTACAGATGCAATAAAAAGCAAAAGTCCTGTCTTTCAAATTCTATTCCTATACCCTTCTTATGTGGCCTATAGTTGCGCAGCCTAGTCCTTCCTCTGTCAGCAGAATTGGCCTTTCCTCTTCCTCCACAGTTACAGCTTCTGGAATTCCTGGGCATTGTTCATCTCCTTCTGAAACTCAATAAAGAGCTTGTCTTGTGACTTCTACCGCAGATTGGAAAGTGATTTGACTCTGGTCTCTTGTTTTCCCTTGACAAAGTGCAGAATGATGATGGCTGCACCAGTACTTCATCCACTACCTCAGTTTCTGACTCCTCTGCATCTGTTTGGGGGAAGGGAGATATTTAAAAAAAAATTCAGATAGACTTTATTTGTTACTTATTTAGCTGTGTCTGAGCAGCTGTGCCATGATGAGATCAGTTGTGAGTGTCTGTTGTTTAACTTGTCCTGGGATGGGTTTTTTTTGTTTTAATTTCCAAATTTGAGTTTTTTGGGTTTTTTTGCTGTGTTATGTCCAAACACATGCTGCATGCTGAACCTTGGAACTGTGCCATCACAAGTGGCCCCCAGCTCTGGCAGATAGTTCTCTTTTGAAGTCCCTCCCCTTGTTCAAGGTTCTATTAATCTCGAAGACAGTTAGATAACGTTCAGTGTGAACTATTTAAAGTGATTAGCCCACCTCATATCATTGCCTAGAGAAAGAAAACTGAATTTCCATGGGACAAATTAGGAAAATACTGCTAGTTGTGGAACTTAATGAGTGAGTGGCTGAGAAATGTACAGAGGTGACACAAAGTTCACAGTGGTAAACTGGAGTAGGAGAAATGGTGTGAATCTTTATGAATTGCACAGAGCCTAGCATGCTGTTGTTTCTAATCAAATAGTTTGCTTTAAAAATTAGGTGCCTCCTAGTGAGGATAGCATCAGTGCACTGATTAGTTTTGTTTGTGCCTGGTCATTCTAGTGTAAATGTGGAACAGCGTAGGATAAATTGCTTAGCATTTTACTTATCTTCATTAATGTTTATGTTAATTATTTCAAGTTAATTTGAGAGAAATAATCTTCTGCTCTGATAAATTGCAATGGTGTCTATTCCTGAATTTCTGGTAGAGGTAGGAATTTGATTACAGAATTAGCAATTTGGGACTAGTAGGCTTAATCTTTAGAAGCTTTAACTGAGTTTAATGGCCAGGACAACCCTTTTTCCCCCTTTGCAGACTCACTAATGTTCTTACCTGTTGTTGCTGAATGCAGTGTCTGCCTCCATAAAGGTCTAGTGTGCTCCTACGGCCTTTCCTGCACCTCAACCATATGCTGGAGCATATCAGTTTGATCCTCCAGTAGCCTCAGCATTGCATCCTGCCTCCTCTCACCACACCGACGCCTCTTGCGTTCATTTTGTGCTTTCCTGGACTCTGACATTGTCTCCCTCCACACGTTGTGCTGGGCTCTTTCAGCATAGGAGGCCTGCATGAGCTTACAGAACATTTCATCGTGAGTGCATTTTTTTCGGCTTCTTAGCTTTGATAGCCTCTGGGACCGAGATGATACGGAGAGCGATGAAACATTTGCAGCTGCGGGAGGGAAAAAGGGAGATTAGTCTTTAAAAAAAGAGACATTTTAGAGAACAATGGGTAGACTCTTTCACAGTGAACCAAGCTGTTAACATAACATTACATAGCACGTGTGCTTCGTTTACAAGGTAACATTTTGCCTCTTATATCGAAGGCCTGCTGGTATGGTGTGAGAGATGGTTTCAAACAGCAGCACCCTCATTTCACATACCAAACAGCTGTTGGGTTGGCTCTTTAAAATGTGTTGGCCGTTTAAAAGGAGGGGCTGCGATGTTTGGGTTAACATGCGGCACAAACCCAACTAACTTCCCCCCCACACACACACACCCCCAATTCTCTGGGATGATCGCTTCACCCCTCCCGCCATTGCATGGCTAACAGCAGGGATGATTTCTGTTCAGCCACAGGCAAACAGCCCAGCGGGAGCGGCCACCTCAGAATGTCCCCTTAATAAAATTCCCCTATTCAACCAGGTGACCATGAATGATATCACTCTCCTGAGGATAACACAGAGAGATAAAGAACAGATGTTGCTTGAATGCCAGCAAACACCGGGACCATACGCTGCCATGCTTTGTTATGCAAATGCTTTGTTATGCAATGACTATGTGCTGCTGGCGTGCCGTGGTAAAGTGTCCTACCATGGAGGACGGAATAAGGCTGCTCTCCCCAGAAACCTTCTGCAAAGGCTTTTAGAGTACCTCCAGGAGAGCTTCATGGAGATGTCCCTGGAGGATTTCCGGTCCATCCCCAGAAGCGTTAACAGACTTTTCCAGTAGCTGTACTGGCTGTGAATGCATCCCAAGTCCTCAGGGCAAATTAATCATTAAATACTCTTGCTTTTAAACGGTGTATTATATTTACAAAGGTACACGCACCAGAGGTCCCTTCTCCGCCTTCTAGGTCCAGGAGCCCATCTTCGCTGGGTTGGGAGGGTACTAGATCCAGGGTAAAGAACAATTCCTGGCTGTCGGGGAAAACAGTTTCTCCACTTGCTTGCTGTGCTTCAACCTCCTCCTCCTCTTCCTCGTCCCCAAAATCCGCATCCCTGTTGCGTGAGAGTCCATTGACGGAGTCCACACACAGGGCTGGGGTAGTTGAAGGGGCACCCCCTAGAATGGCATGCAGCTCATCATAGAAGCGGCATGTCTGGGTCTCTGACCCAGAGCGGCCGTTTTCCTCTCTGGTTCTTTGGTGGGCTTGCCTGAGCTCCTTAAGTTTCACGTGGCACTGCTGCGGGTCCCTGTTATCGCCTCTGTCCTTCATGCCCTGGGAGATTTTTTCAAATATTGTCATAGATTCATAGATACTAAGGTCAGAAGGGACCATTATGATCATCTAGTCCGATCTCCTGCACAACGCAGGCCACAGAATCTCACCCACCCACTCCTGCGAAAAACCTCTCACCTATGTCTGAGCTATTGAAGTCCTCAAATCGTGGTTTAAAGACTTCAAGGAGCAGAGAATCCTCCAGCAAGTGACCTGTGCCCCATGCTATGGAGGAAGGCAAAAAACCTCCAGGGCCTCTTCCAATCTGCCCTGGAGGAAAATTCCTTCCCGACTCCAATATGGCGATCAGCTAAACCTTGAGCATATGGGCAAGATTCACCAGCCAGATACCCAGGAAAGAATTTTCTGTAGTAACTCAGATTTTGGCATTTTGTCTTTTTGAACAGAGTTCTGATAGCACGGATTCTTCTCCCCATACAGTGATCAGATCCAGTACCTTCTGGGACTGCATGGTCACCTGTGCTGATCAGCTCACCACGTTGGCCAAACAGGAAATTCAAAAGTTCGCGGGGCTTTTCCTGTCTACATGGCCAGTGCATCTGAGTTGAGAGTGCTGTCCACAGCGGTCGGAGGCCAATACCGTCTAATTGCGTCTACACTACCCCAAATTGGACCCAGCAAGGTCGATTTCAGCACTAATCCACTTGTCGGGGAGGAGTACAGAAACCGGTTTTAAGAGTCCTTAAAGTCGGGAAAAAAAGGCTTTGTCGTGTGCAGGGCTAAACCGATCTAACACTGCTAAATCCGACCTCAACTCGTAGTGTAGACCAGGGCTAAGAGTACAATTGCTCTCTCTGAATATAGCAGGGAGGTAAACAACAGGGAGGGTGAAAAGCTATAGAAATTATAGGACAATGTTGGCTCAAGATCAAAGGGGTATAAACTGGTCGTGAACAAGTTCAGGCTGGATATTAGAAGATTTCTAACCATCAGAGTGGTGAGGATCTGGAACAGCCTCCCAATAAGAGTTGTGAGGGCAAACAACTTGATTAGTTTTAAGACAGAACCTGACAAATTGGAATGAGATTGTATGGTGGGGTTGGTTTTAATGGTAAAGGGTGGGGCTCAGCAGCCCTGAGGGTCTCTTCTGGTTTATGTCTTCTGTTCCTAAAATCTCTGCTTCAAGGCTAGTGACTGAAGATGTCACAAAGGATATCGCGGTGTCTGGAGTGGCTCAACAACTGAGAGTGCATACCACAGGGTAGACTGTCAGAAAATAAGGGCAGATACCCCAAACTGGTGGTATGTTCTATAATTAGATTTCACCAAACCTGTGAAATCCTGGATCACTGTACCAGTCTTACAGTGGAGTCACAGACCGTCCTCTTAGCCTCTCCAGTCACCCAAACAAACTGAACTTTGTGATAAAAGGTTACTTAAACCTAAAATCACACCACATTGTTTCTCCTAGTCGCAAGAGACCAGTCACTTACCCTGAATCAATTGGTACTCCAGATCTTACATCAAAGACAACGCTGGCAGCCAATTCTATAGTAAACTGACTATGGGTTTATTAGCTAAGAGAAAAGAATGAGATTATTGAGAGGTTAAATCATGTAAAATATAACAGGTAAATCACAGTTTGAAACTTCAAATGGTGGTAGAGATGTAATGAACTGCTGGTTTCCCAAAAGTCCTTTGGGGCTACCCAGAATAATTCTGGGGATCTCCGTCTTCTTGTTCAGTTATTGTGCCATATTAAAATGCAAACAGTCCAGAAATACAGGATCTTTCTTTGAATCCATATTTATATCTTCTCACAGAAGACAAGCTGACTTTCTCTAACCATGTGGGCTTTTCTTTTGATTACAGATAGTGAGGAATGCACTCAGAGTCTTTAACCTCGAATATCACACACAATGATCACTTACTTTGAAAGTAACGTTTTCTATTAAAGTCATTAAATACTTGATTAGCAATTCATAAGATTTCTTTGGTGGATAATTTAGTTACAGGGTTATAAACAAATGTTTGCTGCTTCTTTACAACAGGAATAGATAAGCGAGAACAATAGAAGTAAAGACCCAATCGTTTTCGTGAAGTTTAAACATCTGAATACGCACTTATATATTCAAGAATTACTTTGATCTGTCCTAATAGCAAGTAAATTAGCCTGAATACACTTTTACATATAACAATTGCTTTTGATCTATACTAATGCACAAGTGAACTGGCCTGTGGCCCTGATCTGACCTGGTTTGCCAGTGTCACTGAGGGATTTCCTTTTCCCCCTTCCCCCATTCAACCCCCAAAAGTATCCTGGGTTTTTCTTATCTCCTTCCTCTGAAGAATTACAGAGGCCATTGCTGGCGATGAACCACTGGACAGGATGAGTCAGTGCTCTGAAGTGGTACTGAGCATTCTCTTTCTCAGGTGTTTGGCTGACTGGTTCTTGCTCACATGCTCAGGTTCCAACTGATCATCGTATGTGGGGTTGCAAAGGAATTGTTCCCCAGGTTAGATTGGCAGTGGCCTTGTTATTTTTTTTTTTTTAAATATGCCTTCCTCTGCAGCGTGGATGCAGGTTATTTGCCAGGATCATTGGGGTCTCTCTCTCTCTCTCTATCATTTCCCTGCCCTCGGGCACCAGTGCACCTCATCTCTTCTATTCTCTGCTTGTGGCACATAATAGTTTAGTCTCCTGTGGGCTGTAATACTTTGGTCTGATTTGGTTATTGGGTTTACTGTGCAATCAGTGATGTTGGTAGCTTGTGACATGCAGAAGATCAGACTAGATGAAAATTAAACCCAATAGCAAAAGATTCTTTAACCATATAAATAAAAAGAAAACAAGGAAAGAAGAAATGGTGTCGCTAATCACTGTGGATGGGGTGGAGTATAAAGATAATCCAGGGATGATCTAACACCTAAACGAATATTTTTGTCTCAGTTTAGAATAAGAGTAATGAGTAGCTTGGGACAGTGGCAGGATGGCCAATAGGAACAAAGGTATGGAAGTTGAAATTACCACATCTGAGGTGGAAGTCAAACTCAAACATCTTAATGGGACCAAATGGGGGGCCCTGGATTATCTCCATCCAATAATATTAAAGGAACTGGCACATGAAATTGCAAGAGGAAGGATTTTTAATGCATCCATAAACTCGGGGGGTGATGCCCTATGTGACGTTATTGACAGAATCTGTAACTATAGATCACTGTTGCAACCACTGTTATATATTTGCAGCAAATATTGTACAAAGGTTGTCGTGTGAGGTGTCTATGGAAAGGTTATGATTATGATTATGCTATCTGTGTGTGTATCATTTTTGTAGTTGAAATTATGCATATTGGCTATGTACTTGCATCTCAATGTGTGATTCCAAGAAGCCTTAGGGCATGGCTACACTTGCGAGTTAGAGCGCATTAAGACAGCCCCGGGCGCCCTAACTCACGACGCGTCCATACTGGCAAGGCACGTAGAGTGCCCTGACTCTGCGGCTGGAGCACTCCTGGTAATCCACCTCCATAAGAGGCATAATGCTTGGTGCGTCCTGACTGGAGCACCGCGGTGCCAGTGTGCACGCCCTGGTCTGTTAATGTGCTCTGATCGGCCTCCAGAAGTGTCCCACAATGCCTGTTCTAGCCACTCTGGTCATCACTTTGAACTCTACCCCCCTGCCGTCAGGTGACCATCAGACCTGCCCTTTAAATTCTCTGGGAATTTTGAAAATCCCCTTCCTGTTTGCTCAGCAAGGCATGGAATGCTCTCAGTGCATCTTTCCAGGTGACCATGCCTCCATGCGCCAGGCAATCCCCAGTATGGAGCA